TTTTTCTTTCTGGTTTTAGTTTTGGATTTTGTTCTGTAAAGTTTTATCAGTTGAGATTATTAGGGGTCCACTAGTTGGATTCCCGAGTTGTACGGATTGGAAAGTTAATTTATATTAAAACTTTTATTTTTGGAGGTTTTACAATTAGAATTCTTTTCAGCATATCATTATTTTATTCTTAATTCAGTTTTATTCCTGCTTGTTTATATATTGATTGTCTGGTATCCTTCGGATCTGTGCCCAGACTTGATCACCCGTGGTTCTAGAATCGAGGGTTATCACATATATCTTCATCATCAATTTTAACATCCAAATTTTGTAAATCAGCAATAATTTTGTTAAAATTGTCCAGGTGCTTGAACATAGACATACCTTAATTATATTGAAACTAAAAGAGCTTCTTTTCCAAATAGAGCCAATTTGTAATGCTCTTTGTCATATACTTGTCATCCAGTTGTATCCAAAGCTTGTTTGTTGAAGCTTCGTGCATGAAAGAATATTTTTTATCCTTCTTGAGATAAAGCCAAATTCGACCACAAGCCGTACAATTGATCTTTTTCCAATCTTCTTGCTCCATTTCTTCAGGTTTCTATGCCCCAGAGTAGTGTCCAACTCTTGTTAAATCAGAACATCTAAAACTTCGCATTACCACATGCTGAAGTTGTTGCACCTATCAAATTTCTCAATATCAAATTTTGCGGTTGCCATCTTCTTTTTCAACGATCACGATCACCTAAAAGAATTTCTTATGAGAAAAAATTCTCCCAAAAAGAACCCCCATGAATAGTACTGTACGTTAATAGTACCATACGTGAATAATATTATACGTGAATAATATGGCATATGAATAATACCATACGTGAATAATATACAAGAATAGTCCGTACTGTACGTTAATTGATTACTCTTGTGATTTATTTGATGGTTCATACTTATTTCTTGATAAATTGTGCCACATCCTTAGTTTAATTAGCTTAATTTCTATGTCATTAGCTTAGTTGTAGTGTAATTGCCTGAATTTCTTATGTAGGTGGACAATCCATTCTTATTATTTGATGTTCCACACTTATGAATGCAAGAAGTACATTCCTCTATATTTTTGTGTGTGCACTAATTATGGTTTAATTAAATGGTTATTGGTCTCATTTGATAGTTTGTGCTACTCACTAGATTGATTAGACAATCTATACTTATTTTTCATCCATGCTTAGTTTTAAATTGGTGATTCACACACTCACAAGTTACAACTTGGATTTCCCTTTACAATTGTTAGTGTTTGGTGAAGTGAAGTTTAGTGGTGAACTCTAAGCCCCAAGACCTTTCTCTTATTACTTTCTCTAATTCTAGATTGTTACTTACTTTCATTGCTTTAAGTGAACCATTAGTTAATTAATCAATCAAACCATCTTTTGATCATTCGACCTACTAATCCATCATTGATTCCAAGAATACCGCTTATTTCCCTTAGGACGATCCCTACTTACTCTAACTACATTAATAGTTAGTAGTTGTAGTAGCATTCTATAAATTCAAACTTGGCAACATTTCATTTCACACACCACATTTTTGTGCAATTTGGTGTCAACGACGACAAAACACCAGACCCAATTAACTAAAAGAGATAAAATGAGGCACCTGCCAAAGAGAACAATGAATGATAAATAGGGTATTCCTAAAGAGACTCAATTAGCTAACAGTGATAAAATTGTCCTTGATAAAACATATGCCCTTTATATGGCAAAGGGACCTCACGAGACCCAAAGACCTCACGAGGTCAAGTTAGCTAACTATGATAATGTTGCAAAAGGTACTTGAAAATAATGAGATTTCAATGAATTATGAAAAGAAATTGAACAAAAATAAAATTACCGTGGACACTGTATTCTCTTATACAATTGCTCTTAATATAAATAACGAGGATCCGGAACCTTAGAATATCGAAAAAGGTCAACAAAGAGACATAATTGACCATCATAGAAAAGTGCACGCAATACATGCAGAACTAACTGTATTAGCTAGATGAGAAGTCTTTGGATCTATGGTCCAGACACCTAAGGGTGTAAAGCCTATTGGGTACAACTGGGTATTGGTACAAAGATGAAATGAGAATAATGAAATTATAAGATTTAAAGACCGACTGGTTGCTCAAACTTTCTCATAGAGACCAAGTATTGATTATGAGGAGATATGCTATCCTGTGATTGATGCAATCATATTTCAATTCTTAATTAATTTAGTACTCACAGAAAGACTGAATATGCATCTTGTGAACGCGGTTACAATATTTTTATATAGCTCACTAGATAGTGATATTTATATAAAAATCCTTAAAGGATTTAAAATGTCTGAAATAAAACCATGTAGTATGTACTCGATAAAATTACAACGATCCTTATATGGATTGAAGCAATTTGGGCAAATGTGGTACAATCGCCATAGCGAGTACTTACTCAAAAAATGGTATGTGAACAATTATCTTTGTCTATGCATTTCCATTAACAAATTAGAATAAGGTTTTGTTATTGTTGCAGTATGTGTTGATGATCTGAATCTTATAGGAACATTGGATGAAATAGAAAAGACGGCCACTTATTTAAAGAAAGAATTCAAAATGAAATATCTCGGAAAGGCAAAATTCTACCTTGGCCTAGAGGTTGAACATTTTTCGAGCGGTATTCTCATCCACCAATTAACATATACAGAAGAAGTTCTGAAACGTTTTTATATGGATAAAGCCCATCCACTGAGCTCCCTAATGGCTGTCCAATCACTTAACATCAAGAAAGATCATTTTCGTCCTCGAGAGGATGATGAAGAACTCCTTGGTCCTGAAGTGCCCTACCTCAGTGTGATTAGTGCTCTTATATATCTTGCAAATTACACACTGCCTGACATAGTGTTTTCAGTCAATTTATTAGCAAGGTATAGTTCTGCATTAACCCGCAAACATTGGAATGGAATCAAACAGATATTGCGATATCTTCTTGGTACAATTGATATGGAATTATTTTATTCAAAAGAGCCAAATTCTCAATTACTTGGATATGCAGATGTTACCTATCTCTCTGACCCACATAAAGCTCATTCACAAACATGATGTGTTTTTACCTGTGGTGGCACTATTATATCATGGCAATCTATGAAACAGACAATGATTGTAACTTCTTCAAATCATTCTGAGATACTCGCAATTCATGAGGCAAGTAATGAATGCATTTGGCTCAGGTCAATGATCCAACATATTCGAATAACATGTGGTCTCTCATCAATAAAAGATAGCCCAACAATATTATATAAAGATAATACAACATACATTACACAGATGAAAGAAGGGTATATTAAAAGTGATTGGACTAAGCACATCTCACCAAAATTATTTTATACACATGAACGCCAGAAAAAGGGTGATATTGATATTCATAAGATATGTTCATGTGAAAATCTAGAAAATTAATTCACTAAAACACTTCAAAAAGCTAGTGCACAACATTGGAATATGTCAACTAAAGGATCTTCAGGGTTAAACAAATGCAACAATGAGGGGAGCAGTTGATCGAAAAGGTATTGGCATACTGTACTCTTTTTCCTTTGTCTAGGATTTATCACTGGCAAGGTTTTAAAGAGGCAGTTTTAACATATGCAATACCATTTTCAAATACACAATAATACTATACTTTTTTTTTTTTCCTTCACTAGGGTTTTGTCCCACTGGGTTTTCCTTAGTAATGTTTTAACGAGGCATATTCTTAATATAGTATAATGTCGTATTTATCCCAAGCGGGAGTGTTATATATATATATATATATATATATATATATATATATATATATATATATATAGTGGGGTCCACTCATATTTATCCCAAATATTAGCTTACAAGAGAAGCTCCTTACTTAGCTTATAGAAGAAGCTCATTACTTATCTTACAAGGAAGCTCGTTATCTAGCTTACAAGAGAAGCTCCTTACTTAGCTTACAAAAGAAGCCCATTTTTGAAGCTATATATATATACAAGGGGGGATCCAGGATTTCTCGTTGGGGTGGGATAATATTAAACATAAATTTAATAACAAAATTTCTTAAGCAAATAAAAAATTATAACATAATATAGATAAATATTTAAATTTAAAGATTACAAAATATCTATCTAAGTTGTGCTCGACGAGTCTTTAAAGACTCGAATTCATCAATAATAGATCTCAAGTCAATTTTCCAAACAAACTCCCGTTCAAGGTTGATGGTCATGCAGTCAGTAAAAAATTCATTTCTAATACTACTACGCATCGCTGTTTTAACACGTTTTATGCTTGGGTGGGAGGTTGAGGTGGGATAATACTATTAAATTTATTTTATTTTATTTTTGGCTGGGCTAATATTAGAACAGTAAAAAAAAAAATTAAAAAATTTGGGTTGGGCTACAGCCTACCTTTGCCCACCTCTCTGTCCGCCTTTGTATATATATCATGTGAGCTTGTGTTTGAGGGATGCACTTGTGTTTGAGGGATGCACTTGACAAGTGAATAAAAGAAAACTTTTAACTTTACTATTTTCTGTTTCATTGTTCTTTGATCTTGTTTAATTCTCTCTCTTCTTGGTATATCTATAACAAACCCATGTTTTGAGCCATTAATCAACAATTTCTCGGGGAAGCTAATTGCTCCATTTATTGCCTACAAATATTAAATGTTATGTACAAATAAAATTGAATAAAACTGACGAATTTAACTTGAGAGAACCATGTCATCTAATAAAATTTCTAGGGTTTGCGCAGCCTACTCTCTATTTAGAAAGTCATTATTATTATTATTATTATTATTGGAAATGTTAAGCAATTGTATAATATTTCTGGGGGTTGCGCAACCTACTCTCTTTTACCTTTTTTTTTCTTTTCATGTAGCCCACGTTGAGTGCTTTTACACGAACATAATTTAACATTGCGTGAGAATGAGGGTTTAACAAGATAAAGCTGCCAATGGACTCCTTTTAAATAGAGGAGAGGTGACCATGCTCAATCCATTCACATATATATTAACTGCCTGTATATATAAATATATATAACAGTAGCCGTCTTAGAATGGATGAGAGGTTGAGAGCGGCTGCTTACGAGGGAAACATTGAATATTTGTATGCATTAATTCAGGAGGATCCAAATATTTTGGAGCGCAATATAGATGATAAATTGGTAGCTGATACTCCTTTACATGTGGCAGCATTAACAGGTAATTAGGGGAAGAAGGCATGTGTCCGCCTAGTACGGAGTACCTTTTATTTATTTACCCCATATATATTAGTATTTTTTTTTTTTTTATCAAGTACAGTATACCTTTGAAATGAAATCCCAACTGGGTCCATGCAGGTAAGCATCATTTTGCTGCAGAAGTCATGAAGTTGAAGCCGTCATATGCCACTAAGCTCAACCCAGAAGGCCTTACCCCCATTCATGTTGCTCTGCGAAATGGGCATGATCGCATGGTTGAGTGGTTCATCTCCATTGATAGCAACTTGGTCCGTGCCAAAGGAGAAGAGGGCATGACGTGTTTGCATTATGTGATTTTGCAAGGAAATCGAAAACTTTTGAGATCGTTTCTAATTGCTAGCGAAGAGTCGATTGAAGATTTAACAACCAAACGTGAAACTGCACTACATATTGCTCTAAAATTCTACGTTCCCAGAATTTTTGAGGCGTTGGTCGGACGGCTAAAGAAGGTCAACAAGGAATATATCTTAAACTGGCCAGACGAGGATGGCAACACCATCTTGCATATAGCGACATCCACCAATCAAACCGAGGCAAGTCTGTTATTATTATACAACATATATATATATATATATACACACGTACTTAACCAACGCTTTTAATTCCCTTTTGTTCTCGCGTACGTATACAATATGATTTGTGAGTACTTCACGGTGTTTCTCCTTCAGAATTCTTGTAGTTGTATATGCTGCAGGATTAATATATAATTATTATATATTAGTTAATTAATGCCTTGAAAATCCACTTCGCATGCAGGCTGTGAAATTGTTGTTAAGCGAAAAAATGATTAGAAAGATTAAGGTGAATGCCAAGAACAATTTGAACTTAACAGCATTGGACATCGTTCAAAGTCTACCGCCGGAATTGAACAACAAAGAGATCAAGGATATGCTAGGCCGAGCTAAATTTATGTTATGCTGGCCTAGAGCAAAAAGAGGAGAATTTGTTAATGATGATCCCCTTGAAGACATAGATAAGCTGTCAATGCAAGAAAAAATAGAGAAGTACTACTTTGGATTTGGCGACAGAGACATGTCTCAGGCGGTACTGACTGTGGCTGTACTTATTGCAACAGCCGCGTTCCAAGCTGTGCTCTCCCCTCCTGGTGGATTATGGGAAGATTATCATATCCCGACCGAGAAGGAGTATTGGTTTCATCCACCGCTTCATATTGCAGGGACATCAACAATGTTATGGCAGCAGTACTTTGTTTTCTATTTCTTGAACAGTGTCACATTTTATGCTGCCATGAGCATAATTCATCTCCACACCAAAAACCTTATTCTACTAAATATGACCCAAATCTTTCTCTGTGCCACCTATTGTTGCTCTTTGGTAGTTATGAGCCCCATCGTATCCTACAGCAAGCGTCTAAACGTCATTTATGATGTTATCATTGTCCTCACTCAACTTTTCTTTTTTGTGTGTGCATTTCCAGATATTTCTCACCTGGAGGGGTGCTCCATCCTTCTTGCTGAAATCATTGTGGTACCATACTCCTCCGGGAATTCTAAAATACTAACCTCTTTCTACCTACTGGCACCAGTTGTTCTTATTTATCTTCTTTTCACCACTACCTTTTATTCAATTATACCTTAATTTTATGGTTAGTTTCTTATTTGTAACTTCTTGTGTATTATAAGAAAATGGTAATGTATATGCCACCAGTGTGTACTAGTCTTATTTTAATGATAGAGATATGTTTGTGGCAAAAAAAAAAAAAAAAGTTTCAGGTGTCAACGTGATTGCCCAATGTATCATGCATGACTAATTTACAACATTTGATAAAGTGTCAGGTTTTTGGGATATAAAAGTCACATATATACACTCCTATATACATTAGTACGTACTAATGAACTTCAAATTTTGTTAAGCCTTCCATGTGATCGTTACAATATTGTTTTATATATCATACCAATTATTGCATCATTAAGGATGACTTAATCTAATCCTACAGGGTAACTCAGTTGGTCAGGTCTTGAATTTACTCCCTAATGATTACAAAAAAAAAAAAGAAAAAAAGATGAGTTAACCTCAATTATTAAGTATTTACTTACAGTTTCGCCTCTTGTTACAGTTATTGGAGAGATGGAGGCAACAAACTATTTTTATTATAACATTAACGGGATAATTTCACTTACATCCTTCGAGATTAGGTTTAATTACAGATAATATTTCGAACGTTTTAATAATTACGCTAACCTCTCCCAAAATTAACCCCCTTGTCACACTTTGCCCTTTCCGATAATGGTCAACGTCAATTTTTTAAGATGTTAGCTGTTTTTTAGCATGAAATGTCACATTTACCCTTAATACAATTACAAAAACATCTACATCCTTACTTTTTGAATTAAAATTACTTATATACCCTCAAAACGATAACAGTTTATTTTCTCTTTATACATCTTTTCTTTCTAAAACCTGTTACAAGAACGGCTCTGTTATATACATTATATATATACTGTCTATATATATACATATATATATATTTCTCCATCCTAGATCTATATATATATATATATATACATAGCTGCAAATCGTCGCCACCACAACAGATCACTGCCGAAATCGATAAAGGCCCTCGCCGCCAGAATATATGGAAACTCGACTGCCGACAGACTAGCTCTCCCCCTCAGCTCCGCCGTCCGCGGATGTACCCTAATCCAAAAACCCCCATATATCAAGACCTATTCGAGTTCTTCATCGATCTGAACTCCACAATCAGCCCAATTGACAACATCGTCTTCTGCAGAAACATCATCCCTACGACGATGACCGAGACGAACTCAACGATGCCAGCCAAACCTGGTTTCGCCAGAGTTTTTTAGAATTTTTTGCCTTGATTTCTTTGTTTTTGGCGCCACTGGACCCAATTGAAAGCTTCACACATTGCTCCATCATAAAGATCCTTCCAGTCTTTGGGCTTTGCACAAAACTTGAGACGAATAGATGAACCCATTTTCGATATATGTAGTTCTAGTGAGCCTGCAGCTTCAAGACCCAACTGATTACTCCGTCGTTGCCGGATTGAAGGACCCTGAAATGCAGCGAAAGTACAGAGCTGCACACATACACTGTTCCGGTAAGTTTCAGTGACCCAACAAACCGAACAGCTTCAGCGACCCAACCAGCGAAGAGCAAGCTTCAGTGAGCTGAGCTTATTCGAAGACTCGTTAGAAAGCTTGCTAAATCATTTTGAAGACCCAATTGGCACAGAGCTTTAAGGCATGGAGACCATTCAAGCCGGAAATCCACAGTGACCAAACCGGCGTCAAGCTTCAGCAAACAAACCGGTGTGCTTCAGTTCAAGTGAAATTCCAGAGTTCTCTAGTACCGGCAAGATCACCAACAATCATTCTGGCGACCAGCTACAACGCACACAATCAATCCTCTGACCTCACCGCTACGAATTGCCGGCGCAATCGATCCGTTCCTTCACAAACACAAGGCATATTGCTGCCGGAATCGATGAACACCATGGTCGTTGGAATCCGTGGAGCCCCATAGTCGCACCGCCTCAAATCACCGCCACGGGGCAGATTGTTGCCGTTGTTACAGATGGATTCAACGTTGTCCAGTTAAGAAATTAGTTGTTCTTCAAGTGTTTTCTCTCTCTTGGTCCAAAACGGTTTCGACAGCGGGGTAGGTGGGTGTGAAATGGGAGCGGCTATGACGAGTTTAATATTGAGGTGGTGGTAATAGCAACAAGGTGGTTTTGAGGAGAGCGAAAATGAAGGGGCTTAGGGTTTCAAAAATTTAGGATCTAACCATTTATGGTCTTTGTTGGTGACGGTAGTGCACAGTAAAAAGTCTGGTCTTGGGGATAAACTAGACAACTTGTTAGATTAATATAATAATAAAGGACATTTTAGTACTTTTACACGGATTTCTCACAAAACCTAACTTCCGTCGTATTGAAGGGAGGTCGGTGTAATATTAACAATCATAAGGGTATGGCTTGTAATTAAGCCTAAACTCAGAAAAAGTAAGTGAAATTATCCCTAACATTCACCTTCTATTTAAAATCACACGCATTAACTGAAAGCACGCGCGCTAAGGCTACTAGTTGTCAACGTGATTGCCCAATGTATCATGCATGACTCATGTACAACATTTGATAAAGTAAATTTAATTAATCTTGTTTTATAATCGTTAAATCAAAGAAGAGATTCTAAAATAAAAATAAAAATAACAATAAAAATATTGCAATTATTTAAGTTCAGTTAGTAACTTTAGAAAGGTAGAGGATATATCATTGGACTTGGTACAAATTAAAAAACCATACTTATCAATTTTCATCTTTCTCGTTATAGATTACATCATTTTCTAGTATCTATTTAATTATTTAAGGGTTAATTTCACTAACACCCTCCTCAGGTTTAGTTAAATATCACACTAAAACAACTTTCTAAAATTACTATGACTCATACTGCATATGTTTGTTCCGTTTTTTACTCACACCCCAACCGTCACATGCAGAGCTCTGACACCATGTAAATTAATTAAAATACCCTTTGACTTTGTTAAATGAGTTTTTAACCTACAAAAGTAGATTAAAAGACTAAATTATCCCTATATGCTTTGCAATTTACAATTATATTGTATTATATATTTTATACATATATAAATGGAAAAACTATTGTACAAAAGTACCCTCATTAAAATCTGCCACCTCATAACAATTCTGAGTGTTTATGTAATTTAAAAACTAAACCACTCAACTTCTCTCACGCATATTTCTCTTTTCCCTTCACATTGTCAACAAACCTTCTACACCACGCCGTTGATGGAAGCCCATTATTCCCTGCCACGTTGTTTAAATTTTCCTTGTATGCACTGACTATCTAATCTATTTTTGTTTCCCATTTTATATGATATTTTCCCTTTTATCTGATATTTTTGTTTCGCATTTTATCTGATATTTCTCTTTTCCCTTCACATTGTCAACAAACCCTTTGAACCACTCTGCGGTGGAGGCCTATTATTTCCTGCCACATTGTTTACGTACTCCTCGTATGCACTGATTATCTGATCTATTTTTGTTTCCCATTTTTTCTGAATTTATAACCAAAAAAAAAAAACCAATTGAGAATTTCTTAAGAATCTATATATATATATATATATATATATATATATATATATATATATATATATATATATATAACTGTGTGTTTGTACATATAGATAAAGGAGAGGTTGTATAGATCAGACAGCATGGGGGTTCGGGATGGTAGTGGTAGCAGCGCCGGTGTGGGGGGTGGTGGTGGCCTCGTCGACTGTGATGAGCGCTGAAAAGTGCATATTTAAACCCTTTAAGCTTAGGCATTCTAGTATCTTTATCTATCTTACTTTACCGTTTTAGATTGATTTCATATTATTCCCATTTTCAGGCACTTATCCCGAAAATAAGCTAACTCAGCCAAATAAGAGCTTAATTGAAGCAATTCTGGGATTAAGTAAAGGAAGGAGCAAAGTGGAGAAAGAAAGAAGCAAATGAAGCCAAAGGTGCAAAGTAGCAAAGTTCGATCGATCCAAGTCCAAGGTTCGATCGATCGAACACTATGATACCCCCTGATTTCGGAACACGGGTTGATCAGGTCCGCGGACAAAATCAGGGATATCAAAACAATTAAAGTATTTAAACAAACACAGATTACAAAATAAAACAAATGAATAAATAATACGCTAAAGAAAAACTAATAAATAATAATTTCCATTAATTAATAACCCTCCAACAATTATAACTCGGGAATCCCATAACTCAAGGACCCCTTAAAACATTATTTAATAATCTAATACTACTTAAAAGCACACAAGATGAATAGATGAGTGACAGTCTCCCAACTGCGGATCCTCAACCTCGAGACTGGAACCTCTAATAACCTAAAAAATAAATCGTGGGTTAAACCCTACGAGCAAGTTCTTTCTACCAGACCTCTGAAAACCAATAAGTAGATCATCTCTAATCAAAACCAAACCTAATAAAGTTTTAAGTTTAATAAACAATGATACGCATATGTATAAATAGTTATATACAGTATAAACTTCCCTTTCATTAATAGTTCTATTAATTTTCAAAACCATTAAATCATGATTAAACATAATCACACCTAAACCAACTAAAAACTCCTTCTCTTTTAAAGAGAAACCCCTTTAACCTTAACTCCATTCTAAATAATTATTTAATCATTTAAATAGTAAAATATCATTCAAGAAAAAACTATATTTAATCCAAAAGCCAATAATGAATTTAATTATTTAAACCATACAGCTAATACCCAGGCTTGATAAATCATTCATATCTCTACCAATATTATTTTATTAAAATATATAAAATAATACACTAACATGTAGCTACTAGATTAATCTAATTTAAGAATATCTAATCATAATCCAATTTATACATACCATAACCATAGATGAAATTTAATCATCTAGCACATAGCAATTTAATTACCCTAGGCAAATCAACCATGCCATTATAAATATATTTGTTTATACACTAGCAATTCAACCATGCCATTAAAAATATATCCATTTATATATTGGCAACTCAACTATGCCTCCCTAAGTATATATAGTTATATTTTTAACTTAGCAATTCATCCATGCTTCCTATTTATATTTTATTCATACATATACTTAGGCAATATATATTTACACCTATGGCAACTCATCCATGCCAACAATTCAACCATATACCAACTGTAGACTCAATAATAGCTAATTCATACATAGCCATCTCATGCAAATTGTAAGCATATCACAATCTTAATTAAAATACATATATATACACATATATTATATAATATATATGTGTATAATCTTTCCCTAATAATCCTTGATTATTTAAATCTTAGATATATATATATATATATCATTCCTTCCATACTGATCATACTTTAATAAAATCCATGTATACACGTATACATATGTAATTATATTCTATACATATATACACCACATTCCATAACAATATAATAAGTTATTATATTTACGCAAAATAAATGCTACCAATCATTGTAGTAACACTCTATGGCTTTCAGGACACCAAGAATACCTCCTCTAGTGGTTGTTTCAACCCCAACGGCCTTAAAACCAATTCTGGAAATTCACCGGACCTCAAAGAACCTTAACAGGACCCTAAACAGTGCTTTACGCGCCCCCACGCGCCACCACACGCTCCTAAACACCTCTCACGCGCTTCTACGCGCCACCTTAGCTGGCAGGTTCCATCACGCGCCCCCACGCGCATTACACGCGCTGCCACGCGCCTGTTCCTTCTTCTGGCTGATGTGGCGTACTCTGACTGGTTACTCTCCTCGCTACCACATGAGCGCACCACACCGGATCAGCCGCTCCCCATCAGTGCATCTCAGCCCTCCAAATCTTGTGCACACTATATTAATGTTACCCGCAACACACCAGATCTATTCCATTGATCAAATTGCATTCAATGGCCTCTGACTTGTTGCACACCACAGTTCCATGCGTCGTATCACACTGAATTAATCTATGTATTATTTTTAATTCTCAAAGGCTTTGATTCACACACACACAAAGTTATTGTGTGCTGCACCACACCAAACTATAACCCCCTTTTTGATGCCCTGTTTAACCCAGCCGCCAGTATATACACAGTATATATATTTATGTATTTTTCAAACAAATATTATCCATAAATCAAATATAATTCCAAAAATATATATAAAATTACCAGAAAATTCCCAGAAAATCTATAAACCCTAAATAACCCTCCTGATCATAGATCAAATAAAACAGTTGAATTTAAACATAAATATTACACATACATCAACAATTTAAAATCCAAAGTTAAAAGAAAACAAAATATAATAATTCATTCTTTTAATTAATCCGATCTAATCATGATTTTTAAACCAATAAATTTAATCTTAATTTTGATACTCAAGGTGAAACCCTTATGAGTTCTAAGAGGAAAATTAGAGAAAACTCGCTTGAAAGTTTTGAAACGAAACCGACACTTCAAGCTTTGATTGACTCTTCCAATCCCGACGTCCTCTTTCTCAGATCCGGCCCCTTGGTTATCAGCCTTTTCTTCTTTTTCTTCTCTCTCT